GTAATAGAAAAGGCAAAAGGGGAGGTGGTGTCTGTATATATGCTAAAAATAAATTCAATATTTGTGAAACAACAAACAAAGTACTCAAATCCAAAGACGGAGAACAAATATATTGTAAACTCACATATGGAACTGAAAGAATCCTAATAGGGTGTATTTACAGACCACCGAGTTGCAAGGAATACTAGTGGATTATTAACTCAATTGAAGAAACGCGAAAACTAAATGATTGTAGAAAAACTACCGGTATAATAATATCAGGTGATTTCAACTTTACCAATTTAGCCTGGGACCTAAATGGTGTTCCCTCTTTGCTACAAGAAGATGAACAACTCGAATGTTTTGTAATTGCTATCCAAAACGCGTTTCTTTTTCAACACGTGTATGTGCCAACCTTACAAACAAGCGGTTGTGAAACAACAAATATACTCGATCTTATTTTCACGGAAGTATATGAGAGATTCAGCGAGTTGAAAACTGGAGAACCTTTAGGTCATATCAATAAAGCACACCTATCGTTAACATTCAACTTAAATTTAACAAACAATAATACAACAAAAAGATACTCAACCAAAAAAATTGTCTACAAAAGATGCAATTATGAAGATCTAAATTCATTTTTCAAAAATTTTGATTGGAAAAATAAATTCCACAATGATCTTGATATCGAAACAAACTACAAAAACTTTGTTGAAATATACGACAATGGATGTGAACAGTTCATAAAACAAAATTTAAATTTCATGCAAAAACATCTATATTGGTTCAACAAACAACTAATAGAGCTAACCAAAAACAAAAAAAATCTCTGGTTCAAATTAAAAGTAAGTGGTTTCAAACATGATCTGAAACTTAAATACCTGGAAACAAAAATGAAAGTAGCAAGGGAGGTGAATCGAGCAGTATTTGAGTACGAAAAAAAATTATCCGCAAACGCAAAGTCAAACCCAAAACTGATTTATTCTTACATTAACAAAAAACGAAGCATCAAAGTTGGTATCAAAACTCTTGGATAATGATGGGAATTTGATTAATGATAGAAGCAAAATTGTTGAAATGTTTAATCTAAAATTTCAGGAGTCTTTTGCAAAGAAAATTTAAATGAGCTTTCAGAATTTCCGATACGAACTAACGTCAAATGTGACAATAATACTGATAATATTTTTATATTGAAAGTCGTTATAAAAAAAACTAAGAGAATTAAACAAACATAAATCATGTGACGTTGACGGAGTTCATCCTCATGTACTTCCTAGCTGCTTTGATTCATTGTCTAACACAATTCAGTTCTTATTTAAGTTATCGTTTAATAGTGGTAAAATACCGGAATTATGGAGACTAGCAAATGTTACGCCAATTTTACAAGAGCGGATGTCATTCGGATGTTTTAAATTACAGACTCATTTCCATAACATCAGTGGTCTGTAGAGTAACGGAGAGCATCATAAAGGACAAAATAGTAGAACATCTTTCAACAAATAATTTAATATCAAAGGATCAACATGGCTTTGTTTAGGGAAAACCATGCACAACAAACTTGCTTGAATCATTTGATCTAATTACAAAAGCTACCGACAACGGCATTCCAGTTGATATAATATTTAAAGACTTCAGTAAAGCATTCCATCGAGTACCACACACACAACTTTGTTTAATAAAATTAATAGCATACGGAATAGTAAATAAGATGCTGAAATGTTAAACTATTTAAAAGATTGAAAACAGTGTGTCATACTAGGAGACGCCATTTCAGACTGGCTTCATGTGCTTAGTGGGGTTCCTCAAGGCTCGGTTCTAGGGCCATTACTGTTTGTAATTTTCATAAATAACCTGGCATCACAAATCAAAAATAATCCAAAATTTTTTGCAGATAACACAAAAATGATTGGAATCATAAAAGATAAAAACGATTTGATCAGTTTACAAAATAATATTAACATTATATCAAATTGGTGCGAAACATGGCAAATGTCTTTAAATGAATGCAAATGTAAAGTAATTCACATTCGGAAATCAAATCAAAAGTATAATTATCAGGTAAATAAGCATTAACTATTAAAGGTAGAATTTGAGAAAGACCTAGGAGTGATCATCAGCGCTGACTTAAAGTGGGACCGGCAAATCCATTCCGTAATAGCAACGTCAAATCGTATATTGGGTCAGCTTAAAAATTCATTCAAATACATTAACATTACCACTTTTAATATGCTCTTCACGTCAATAATGAGGCCACACCTAGAGTACGGTGCTTCAGTATGGAATCCGAATAAATTAAAAGATATTAAAGCAGTTGAATCAGCCCAAAAAAGGGCAAACTAAACTAAGTTCGAGAAATTAGTGGTAAAACATACGAGGAAAGGATCCGCTGCCTTGGTCTGACAACACTGGAAGAAAGAAAATTAAGAAGAAATCAAATACAACAGTTCGAAATTAAAAAAGGACTAAATAAAATAAACTTATATTCTAGTTTAACCCAAGAAAAACACAATCATGGCACAAGACAATAAAACTTTCTAACCAGAGAACAAAACAAGTCTGATATCCGGTACAACTTCTTCACAAACAAGATAGTCAAACAATGGAATCAACTGCCAGTATACTGTCAAAACTCAAAAACAACAAACATTTTTAAAAACAATTATGACAGTTATATAAAAAACGCATATTTACAACTACCATAAATGGTCTTTATATAGCCATTTCTCATGACGATGTCGTTGTAGTTTGATAATAATAATAATAATAATAATAATAATAATAATAATAATAATAATAATAATAATAATAATAATAATAATAATAATAATAATAACAATAGTAAATATTTATATTTAAAGATTAGAATCTCGTTAAAAACTTTGATACTACCTCAACGATGGAAACGCATTACAAAAATCTCTTTGTCCTATTCGTACACCGGTAGGAAATCGGCTAGCGAATAGCTAGCTATAATCGTTACGATAAAGACAGCGATTTGGCCATGAGGATCGCTAGCTTTTTTAAGTTAGCGAAAAGCTATCGTTATTTTAAAGATAAAGACAGCGATTTGACTACGAAGACAGCTAGCTTAATAAGCTTAAGACTTACAGGCTATTGTAGCTACCGTCATATCGTAATAAAATCGCTATCAAAAAAATTTCGGTATGTAGCTATCAACCAGCTATAGGTTTGTAGATATTTTGTAGCTAGCTAGAAAGCTACGATATGTAGCTAGCGACACATTGCTACAAAATCGCAATTTTTAAAGTTCGATTGTTATCATAACTATAATAGACTCAACACTAAAAATCGAATTTTTAAAGATGTTAGAGACATTAGTAAAGAATAAAATAGGAAAAAAAAAAATCCGCTATAAAGCTAGCTAGTCGCTCGCTAGTCGCTAGCTCATTTCCCACCGGGACAGTTGCGTCGGCTAAATTATTTTAGTAATAAAACTTAACGTTCATGCATTAGTCGAAGCATTGGCCTTAATCAAATATTTTGCCAATGTTATTTCATACATTTGACCAATTACTTCTTGCCAATGATAATTAAATACTAATATATATCATTGCTTATATATCGTAATATAATCATAGCTTCTTGCTAGCTGGGTAAAAATTTGAACTGTCAAATGGGTCGAGGTTTCAGCCCGGATGGACTTAAACTTAGCCCGGCATGTATTTTACTCATTTAACAATCCTGTTAACCGGATATTTTACCGGTGCAAAATAATAAAATGTAAAGTATATTTTTAAAGTAATTATAAAAAAATAAGCACTGGCTGTTTAATGATGCATATTTTATATATATATATATATATATATATATATATATATATATATATATATATATATATATATATATATATATATATATATATATATATATATCATATTAATTACTTTTAGCAATGCAAAGCATTGTAACAAATATATAACAATACCTATAAGATGTTGTTGTTGTAAAAAATATGGCTAGCAGGTTTTTTTAATGAGTTGTTATCATTATATTACTATATACTTTTGTTTTTATATTTTTAAAAATATATAATATTATTTAATCTGCTACTATTAACAATGTTTTTATTAGATTAGAAAATTGTTATAATAAGGTTTGTTTTTTACAATATTTTTTAAAACCTTTTTTAAAATTCTTTTTTTGATTTTTAAAATTACTTTTTAAACATAATGTATATTTATTGGCTTCAGTTCATACATTGGCTATCTTTAAAGCCTGATGCTATGAGGAAGTGTGCTTTCTTTTTTCTTTTATTATCCCAATAAATGTTCCTTATGTTTAAAAATTCTCCACTAACAAGAGCACAACAAGCAAAAATTAGAATTATTTTAGGCCATTTAACTGCAAAATTATCTTTTTTTTAATCATAATCACAATCGAAAAGAAAAAATTCACGAAAAAAGATTGAAGTTGTTTGGAAAAAATTCAAGCTTAATTAGGAAAAATGATAAAAAAAAAAGATAATCCTGCAGTTAAATGGCCTAAAATAATTCTATTTTTTGCTTGTTGTGCTCTTGTCAGTGAACAGATATATACAGTTTATTTTATATTTTTAAACAGTTTATATTTTTATATTTTATATTTTATATTTTTAAACAGTTTATATTTTTAAACAGATATTTACAGAATTTTAACAGATATATACAGATAAAGTAATTACAAAATGGGTTTGGTTTTTTTGTAAACTTTAATGTTTTTTAATTACTTAATTTACTTTAAACAGTTTTAAAACAAAATATATTGTGATTTAATTAAATTTTTAAATAAAGCTTTTTATATTATGTTACAGTGTATAATTTTATTTTGTTTTAAATATTATTTTTGCACCTTGATATCATTAAATCACTTAAAGCTTAGAACTTTTTATGCTTTTGATTGACAAGGAATGACATTAATCTGTGTAAATACTGTTTAAACAGTGGCTGCTTATTTTAATTATGGCTGTTATTTTTAATATTATTAGTTTTGCAGCATTTTTTGAAAAATTAGAATAGTAAAATAAAATATTTTATTTTAGATTATTTAACAATGATTGCTCCCCATCGTTTAGAAGGCATTGATTGCACTGAGGGTGGCTTAATTATTAAAAAAAAAAATAATGATAATGAATTTAAAAAACCAACATGTAGTGTGTTAGGATTACAGAAGCTTGCTGAAGAAAAGCGAAAAAGAATTGAAAATATAAAAAAAGAAAAAATTAATAATGATGGTAGTAAAAATGATGAAAATTCTATAACAGACAAAAATTACAGAAAGTATCGTCCTGAAACTCCATCCAATACAGGTGGGGTAAATGAAACAGCAAAGTATAATATAAATAAACGTAGAGAAAGAGACAAAGATGACCGTAAATCTGGTGTTTATGCTGAAACAGAACAAAAGAAAAAACGAGACAATAGATACACAAGTGAAGAAAAGGTTATAAAAAGTAGAAGCAGGGAATTATCTAACCGGTATGCTGAATGGGAAGATACACCAAGTTCTAGACATTCAAGAGATTATCAAGATGTGACTCCAAGGATGAATTATGGTATCTATATCATTGAATACAATTAATTATGGTTGATATATTGTCAACTTGTCTCAAGATTTTTTTAATTTTTTGCCTAGTTGTTATATATTTAAACAGATACGCCATTTTGCTATATATTTTTGTGTGCTAGTTTCCATTGTTATTGTAGTGGGTGTATTTATTTTCTTTTTTAAAAGTTGTCAGCACTATAATTGTTTTAATGTCTTTATTTTGATTTTTTTCATCACCTTTTTTTTTTCTTAATTGTTGAAGCTTTTTTTAAAAAAAAAGCTGTAAGTTTCATCTTTGCATTAAAGATATTACACACATTTCAAATAAATATACTACATATAGCTTTTTTTTTTTATAGAAAAATGCAATGATACATTCATTAGATATTTATTTAATTTTATTATCCACTTTTATCTATATATATATATTTTTATAGTATTTAAGTTTTAAGCCCGATATTTTTTATTATTTATAAGTAACTTATATGTGTTTAATTTATAATAAAAAATAAATGTTTTACAGAACCATCTCCTGCACGCAGTGGATGGGGGGATTCTAATCATAGTACTTCTGAGTGGGATATTCCATCACCACGTTCTAAAAGTAGTTATAATGACCGATCAGATCGAAGATCTGAACGAAATACAAAGTAAGTTTTATTTATATTTTTATAAAAATAGATTTTTATATAAAAACTTAATTAGATTTTATTAGTTTATAATAAAATCTGATAATCTAACCTGTAATATTTGACAATAAATTAATAAAAGAAAGAATAAGAGATATTAATAAAAAGTTAATAAAAAAGTTTAAAGTCCAAGGAATTAGATTAAGTTAAACTTTCTTTGGTTAAGACAGAGAAAGCTGAAAAAATAAATAAATAAATAAGGAAAAGAAAAACAAATAAAAATTGTTTAGAAGAATTAAAAAAAAAAAACTAATAAAGAAAATTCGAAAAAAGTGAAAATATTAAAGAAAAAGAAATATTGAACACTAAATAAACAGAACAACTAAAAGCCAAGTTAAAAGAAAAAATGTTTGTGATGTGTTCAAAAATAAAAAGCTTTATAAAACTATTAATAAAAAACTAAAAAAACAGTTTTCAAGTTTTATAAATTTAGGTTGTTTGAATTGTTTATATTGTTGTGTATTTTTATGTATTTTTTATATTGTCATGTATTTCTATGTTTTGTTTATACTATTGTGTAATTTGGTGCATCCTTTATATTAATATAGTTATTTTTATATTGTGCTTTTTTTTGGTGGTGTTGTTGCTAATCATTTTTATTATTGTTGCATTTTAGATTTGTTGCTATTATTTAAGTGATTTCACTATTTTTTTCTTCATCATAATATTTAAATATATCCTTTTAAATTTAAATATATCCTTAAATATATCCTTAAATATATCCTTTTTATTTAATGTTCTTCTTTTTTACTTTTTGTTGTTTTTTTGTTTTTAAGACTGTGTTAAATAGGCAGATTACATAATTAATTAACATGTTAGTGATAAAGTTAACATATTTATCACTAACATAGATTACAATTGCGTGACATTTCTGTTCTTTGTTTTTGAAAATTTAACCCTACTGTTAGACCTCATGTTTACTCGCCAGGTGTAAAGTTATTCTATAAAAATCAAGTTAAAATAATTAAAGAGTTTTTTACCTAAAAAAAGTCACATATAATACTGGAAAATCAGAACTTTAAATAGAAACGCTCATCCCTAATTCCATAGATATTAACCATGTTTCTTACACCCAGAGAAACACTTTTTCTACCATGCCTCATTTTTTACATTAGGGTTATGACTTTTTATCAACCCCATGCTCCTGTACTGTAGTTAGATGAACTTTTACCTAAAAAGCACGAAATGAACTATTATTTGCATATCTTTTCAAAAAAGTTCACCTCGCCATTGAAAAATCGATTTTGACATAAGTACTACTATGCATTCGAATTTAGAATGTCGTAGTCATGTAATACAATATATTTTCAATCCAACAATGACTCAGACCGTTGATGTTGCTTGTTGCACAGAAAAAATCGAAGGTGCTTGCTGTTGCTTGTTGCACAGAAAAAATCGAAGGTGCAATTTGTCTATATTTTTGCACGATGAATAAATCTTCTGATTTGATTGCACACTTTGATTGCACACTCTGATTGCACACTCTGCACATTGATTACTCCTGGGTATCTGTAGTATGGATGGCTCTCGCTTTCAGTGATTTTTCAAAGAGCTTAAAGCCTTTTTGTATGAAATCAGTATTTCAGCCAAGTTATCATAGTCATTTTCGTTGTACAGTTGATCTGTAAACCAATAGCAGGCCTTGTTTTAAAGCGTTACGTCTAGAGCGAATTATGTATGCCTTAAGTGATTTTTTACGTACGCGTAGAGCTGTTTTGCTTAAGCTACTTTTTATCATTTTTTAACTTTTAAATTAGCGGTAACATAAAAGAAGTAATTCATTTTTAAAAAAACCACATTAACTTTTGAATAACGATATTTACAAATATTTATTACAAAAAACAAGTTACGTTAAAAAATAATTGTAGTAACTTTTCATCGCGATATATCTTACCTTTTTATAACTATTAATTTTACGCTAAACTTTATATTCAAATATTTAGTAACATGAAAAATTGTTTGTCAATCCTTAACTACAAATTTTTTGCAAATGTTTTTAATAAAAAGTAGTACTTTTTTAAAGTTTTCAGTAAAAAACTTTAAAAAAATCTATATTCCAAATTTATTAATACAGAATATAAATGTTTTTTGTAATATAGATTTTTTAAGAATTTTTTACTAAATTCATATTAAAAAACATTTGCAAAAAATTTATAATTTTTGACATTTTTTTTAATATCTCAAAAAATGTCTTAATATTTTTGTTATCATGATAACAAAAATATGAAGACATTTTTTGAGATATTAAAAAAATGTGCCAATGAATGAACAATCTATTTGTATTGTACTAAAAATTACTTCAATAATTATTACTCTTTGCTTTTCTTATTAGTTAAAGGTACCTTTATCTTTAAGTAATGTGGGGGAGGGGGCCGACACAGAAAAAAAAAATTACCTGTTACTCACAATTTTTGAATGAAGACATTTTGTTAAATTTCTTCTGCGTGCGATTCAATAAATTTTATATTATAAGGTTATATTATAAGGTAAAGAAATTGCGAGTAGACTATAACATCCGCTGATGACACTAATATTGCGTTGAATATATTTATTTAATGGAGGTTTCATTATGCACGCGCACATTACAGACTCCGTTAAATAAATACTAAGGCATGTTTTAGTTTAATGACAGTCTCTATTTTTTACTAATAACTATGAATTTTTCTGTATAAAATAAGACAAACTAGTATATAAAAACCTAGTATATTTCTATTCTCTCCAAGTTGTTTAAACTTTGAATATGGATTGTATTTTGAAGGACAAAAGATTTACTTTGAAAACTTTTAAATCCTGGGACTTTGCCGATGCTTTTCTAATTGAAACTATCACAGAAAAAGAGAAGACTTACGTTATTAAAATCAAATGTAAGTTATGTGATCTTCATCAAAATAAAATATTATCCAAAACCAATGGTATTGTAGGGGCAGCTGCCCAACGGTTTATAAATGACACAAGTCATGTTAAAATATTTTAACATGTTATTATATTTTATTCAAGTTGGTATATAAATAAAAATAAAAATATAGTTCAATAAATAAATTAAATTTGTTCTACCTCATATTTATTCTTTTTTTATATTATTATTCCAAGTTAAATTGTTTACAAACGAAAAAAAAAAAAGAGTTTTGTAATTATACGTAGAATGAAAATACTTTTGAGTTTGTTTATAAGTTAAGGAACTTAATTTTTAATGAACAAATTTTAACAAACGTTTATTATAAACATTTGCGAATTAAATTATTAAATATACTTATATTATTTTAGTTAAGTATTTTTTTAAGTGTGCACGATTAAAGTTTTGCGTAGAAATATTTGTTTTTTGTTTTAAGAATAATTAACAAAAGAGTTTGCATAAATTAAGACTTTTAAATTTATTTTTTTTTTTAATTCCTAAAATTAAAAAAAAAAAGATTTAATCGTTAAAAAAGATTTTTCTCTATAGCTCTGTTTTTTTGTGATTTGTTTAAAATGTAAAACATTTTTATGATAACATAAAAAATTTATGAATTAAATTCCTGGCGAACGCGTTCTAAACTACGTATTAAAAATATGCTCAAAGCAGACATAAAACTTTTTTGTTATATAGTTTTTGTAATAAGTTTATATTTAAAACGTTTATAGTTATTTGAGTTAATTGTTTAATTGAACTAGTTAGCAGTTATTTATTTATTGCGGTAGTTAAAACACTTAACATTTATAAAAAAAATAAAGATAATTTTATGACGTCAAATATCGCGTTAAGCTAATGCATTAAGCACTTTTTTATTCAAAACAAGGCCTGCAATAGTCTGCCCAGCCATACAATATAAATTGATTCTTTGCAGAACTGTCCTTGTTGATGGAATTAAATGAAGGCCAGGATTGCTAGTATAGCTCTGGAGTTCCACCTCGCATAGCTGAAATTGGGTATTTTATGAAACCTGATCAATGGAAAATGTCCCTTTTCCTCAAAAGATTGGAACACTCAAGTAAGATGAAACAAAAATTTCATATCATCTCTCCAGCCTGATGTTTCAAGATTTACTTCTGTTCTGTTATCAAACTGTGTTTTCAGTTGTTTGTACTTCTTTAACAGTTGAGATACGAATGCATATTCAATGTTTGGCAATTGTGTTTTACTTCCAAATTCTTCATCCATCACCAAATGGAGGATTCTATCTAATACATGGTGTTGACAACTGATAACTGAGGTTTGTTAATGTGTTACTCTGTGAACATTTGTTGCAATATTGCAACAACACCATTCTTTTTTCCAGTGTTAACGCTGGTTGTATCTGCAACAATCATCTGAATTGAATTTCATAGGTGAAATTCATCAAGGGCTTTAGAAATTCCTTGAGCAATAGTTAAAGCCCTGTCATCTACCAAACCAAGGACATCCATTTTGATTTCTTTACTTTCATTTTTAAGGATGACCACTTGATAATCCATTCTGTCTATGTGCTTGCCATCAAAGTGTAAGGAACAACTTTCCATATGCACCTTTTCAATCATTTCTTCTTTCAGCTTGATTGTCTCTTTGATTTTGACTTGGAAATAGCTGATTGACATGGAGTTGCGATATCAATGCCTTCACGAGCCAATTGGTTGCATATGTTAGCAGCTTTGTTTGTTGATACTCTTGTGGAGATCACCAAGTTGACTGTAATTTTGCTTTTATGATGTTTTCTGCTTGGTGTAGGAGTTGTCTCATCTTCTTCATTGTTTTCATATTCACTGTCGTCATAATAACCATGTTCTATCTACTTTAGTAATATCAATAATTTCATCAAGGAGTTCAAAGCTTCCTCGCTTGACACATTCATCATAACATTTCAGTATTTTATCATGCTTGGCTTGTATAACTTGATCAGATACATGAGGAAAATTTAGTTTATTCTTTCACAATTTTGTGACTTTCCGCTATTTGCTCCTTTCTTCCTTTGATTTTTGGTCCAAGGAAATGGTAGCGTCCGATAATT